TTAGAGAGATATTCATCATTCTTGGAAGTAATTTTCTCTCAAAGATATCAGTAACTGTTGATGAAAAGTATAATCTGTGAATATTCCTCGAAATTACAACTTCGCAGCTGATGAATCAATGGAATTCCGAAAATCGATCATATGAGAACGAATGGTTCGGGTGTCTGGCATCGTGAAAATGCAAAAAGGGAAAAGCACATTGCTATCGAACGCAAACCAAGCGAAAAGCGATTTCGTGTACACCTGTATCACCAAAAGTAATAAATGTTTCGCGGTGACCTATATAACAGAATTTCGAGTATAACTTGGACTGGGTATTTAACGTATTTCTATCTATCTACGGCGAAAATGTACTGAAATGTTAATTACATCTCACTATCATACCCCGAAAATGAAGTTATTAAAGAGAAAAAATATTGTGCAGAGAACAGTTCGTTTCACCCATTATTTTCAGTAATTGCTTTGTATGTATTTATTATTCATTATTACCTCTTCAACGATTGTTTTCAATAATTACTTTTTATTTTTAACGATTGCTAATTATTCTCTTATATTACTTTCTCAATAGCTACTTTTTAAATCATTACTTGAAGCAGTTGCTTTCATAATTTCATTGTTAATGATTATTTTTATTTCTTCAAAATTTATCTTTTTCATAATTATTGCGAGTGGTTATACCTTGAATTATTCTTTTATTATTATTTTTGATAATTTTCTGTTTAATTATTAGTCTTGGTAATTATTCTTTCCATACTTATTTTTTAAATAATTTTTCTAAATATTTTTAGTAATTAATCTTTGAATAATTATTTTCAATAGTTTCTTGTTGAACAGATTATTTTTAATAATTACTTCTTCAATATTTATTTGTTAAATAATTGTTTTATATGGTTACATTGTTAATAACTACTTCTTCAATTTTTATCGTTCAAATAATTGTTTTCTGTAGTTGCATTATCAATAATTATTTTTAATAATTTCATTTTTAATAGTTATTTTAATAATTACTTCTTAAACATTTAATTTTTAAATAATTGTTCTCAATAGTTGCATTTTCAATAGTTCACTGTTTAACAATTCTTTATAACATCTGCTTCATAATAATTCCTGTTAATATTCACTTTTTCAATAATCACTTCTTCAATAATTATTTCCCTAATTATTACTACTAAAGAACTTCAACATGACTTGAAAACAACATAATTAAAAATCAAATCTGTCAACTACAAAACAGTTATAGATTTAGAACTGGAAAACTATAAAATTAAAAGAAATTAAATATTAATATATTTTAAGAATAAATAAATTAACTCTTAATCACTACGCCAATAATTAGAACAAATAATTTCGAACGGTATCTAATTTTTTCATGTAGTTACAGCGTAAAGAATATTTAATCAGCTTGTTTATTCGCGTTTCCTAAATCCCTATATCTGAAAATAATAAGAAAAAATGTAATTACCCCCATGGCAGTCAACGTGTTAACGCGTTCCATAATTCTCGTGGAAAAATGTGAAATGTTCGGAAACTTTTTAAACAAAGCTTGTGTTTGAACAAGAGCCAGGCACACAGTGCCGTGTTTGTTGAAAGCGACACAAATACTGGTAGTTAACTGCTAATTAAACGCGCATTGCTAACTGGACCGTGTAATGGAACGACCAAATCCGTACTGGTGGTAGGAAGGCCAAAAAATACCCTTTTTTGCAATTCCAAACGAAACATTATCGATGCTTAATCGAATCGAATGGAAGCTTATTTACACTGTATCAAATTTTAATTAATTATCTTAACGATGTTAATTGTTGTTTCTGTTTGTCTTTTTTTAATTTCATTTTCCCTTCGATAATTGTAAATCGAATATTCTGTTGGATGTATATCAATCTATAACATATTTTTTATGCAACGTTTAAGTGAAAAGTCGCGTTTCCGTTGTTTCGTATCGATAAATGTCAGTGCAAAATGTCGTACTCTAATACGTAAAATTGATAGGTTCCCTATACTTTCACCGATTTAACCGATATGCCGCAGAAAGTCAATTTCGTCCAAGAAACATCCAGCCATATATGAAAAACGAGATTCGTTAACTAAGAATCAAAATAAATTTGAATATTTCTCATATGCACCGATCATTTCAGTGCCGTTTAGCTTTTATCCTTTATGAATAATCCAGAATTTAAAAGCCTGTTCTTCAACGTCCCTTTTTCTTTGAACACTCTCGATACGTTCATCTTAATTGCAATCGCGACTCGATGAGTAATGGATTTGCATTATCAAAGATTTTCAATGAAACTGAAATACCATTCTTTTCCAAATAATTTTAAACCGAAAGTACCTCAAATTGCAGTAATAAAAATAAAGCGAGAAACCTTCGATCACATATTTTAGACCTTTAGGTTACTATACGAGAACATAGAAAATTAATACAGATATGTCCATGAAAAAATGTAATTTTATAATTTGTACAAAATTACCAATAATGTGTATAAAAAATAAGTTGGACATATCCGAGTTAATAAGTGAAGCTCGTGTAAATGTTGAATTTTTATTAAAATGAACCACGAATATTTAAGTATAACAACACACCTGTACAATATTAACTGTGCGAATATAATGATTTTCAACGAAATATCTTTTGATCAAGGATACATCTCCCAGTAAGTCTGTCGCATACCAGCAACAAACGAAATTATTAGAACTGCTTGAATCTTTCAGCGAATGTTAGACTCTCTGTAACGTAGAACATTGCTGCATCCTCGTAGTAATTGCATTCCGTAGCTGCATGCCAATGTGTGTTAGACGTTTCCTTTCTAAAATATTGACCAATATAATCGTACACGCGGCCGCAAATGGTTTTGGAGGAAACGTTATTGAAGTGTACCTTAAACGCCTTGTTAATTGTACGTTCTATATTCGTTTCAGTGGAATGGCTGCTTTTAGATAATGCTAAGCGAAGAGGTCTGTTATAATTTGATTTCGAAGGACCTAGGGAATCTAGGGTAAAATTAGAAAGGGGGAAATGAAGGAACTATGAAGAGTCTACGAATTTGGACTTTGAAATCTCAGATGTTGGAAGTTGGGGAAATTACGAATTTGAGAACTTAGAAAATTGGAGAGGGCTTGGAAATTGGAGAGCTTTGAAATTTGGGAATTTGGGCATTTTGACGTTTGGAATATTGTGAGATGCAAATTCGAAAGAATACATTCATACAAAATTTACAAATTTTAGAGATTGAAAATTTGGTAATCTAAAAGGTACGAAACTTGCAAAGCGGAGAGCTTTGAAATTTGATGATCCTGAAATTTGGGATTTAGACATTTTGACGTTTGGAATATTGCGAGATACAAATTCGAAAGAATACATTCATACAAAATTTACAAATTTTAGAGATTGAGAATTTGGTAATCTAAAAGGTACGAAACTTGCAAAGTGGAGAGCTTTGAAATTTGATAATCCTGAAATTTGGAGATTTAGACATTTTGACATTTAGAATATTGTGAAATGCAAATTCGAAAGAATACATTCATACAAAATTTACAAATTTTAGAGATTGAAAATTTGGTAATCTAAAAGGTACGAAACTTGCAAAGTGGAGAGCTTTGAAATTTGATGATCCTGAAATTTGGGATTTAGACATTTTGACGTTTAGAATATTGCAAAATACAAATTCGAAAGAATACATTCAGAGAAAGGTAGAATAAACCTAAAATGTTCATAACAGATCAGTCAAATACTCCACATTTTCAAACTTTAATCTGTATACCTAACCCGAATTAAAAACACCTGCCAAATTTTTATTCAGCGCATTCATGAATATTTCAAACGCTATTTCTCATCAGAGGAAAATACGAACGTTTCACTAGAGAGCATTAAAAAATAGGTGAAAATGTTTTAACAACAAACCGCGTCTAAAAAGAAGAGAATTAGTTAAAAACCTCTCGTTTCCATGTTCACACAACAATAAAACTTTCAAAGCCAAAATCGACCCAGCCGAATACAGATGGTACAGTAAACACACAAACGCGTTAAAGGAACACTGTAACAAGCTTCCTCGACGTTTGCGGTGTACCGACGCCTAAATTAAAACGTTTTTACGAAACCGCTTATTTGTTTTATACCCACACGAGTTCTCTTAACAAAGTAGTTTCTGTCTCTCGTATTCGAGCATGTTTGTTACCGACTATACTTCGTTCTTCGCTTGCCTGAATTTTCTTACTCTCTTTATTCCCTCGACCGTGTATCCTTCGAGCAACGAGGATCGATCCTGTCAAGGATCAACGAGAACTTCGGCCTTGGGTCATTATGGAACAAATGCGAGAACGATCGTGTGAATCGTGTGCGATTTGTTTCTCTGCGTACAATGACAGCCTCGGATCGAGAGTTTGTTTGGTACAAATTCACCTTTGAAATTTTTATTCCTTCGGGTGAATTTCTGGGTGAAATTCTTTTCAGTTAATTTCTTACGGTGGCATTCTGAGGCATTCTCTTTTAAAACTAATTTCATTTGCAATAGCGTTTCAGTTTCTTTGAAGTTTAATTATTATAACAGAGTTAGCAAGAGTTAATTTAGAATTTCATAAAGCTCACTAAAATCAACTATTATTATAATAAATTGTATTAACTGCGAATTTAACACTTTTAACAATTACGTAATAAAGTACATTTTGAGAAAGAATGTTATTTGTTACTTTATGTTAATGAAATATAATTTCGAGATTCAAAAGTTACAAGCTCTCGATCCACTAAATTTGTATTTCTATCTAAGTGTGTGTGTGTAAGGTAAAAAAAGTTGAAGACAGTTCGATAGAATGAAAGGTTATCTGAAGGTTAAGGAGGGGATAAGTTAACAGGGAAGAAGTGACAGGATAATTAAGAAAGAAACCATGTACAATCTTTCATTCTTAAGAACTAGTCGAGTGTAAGTTTGACCCATTACCGTGACTAATCGCCTCCTTTCTGTGTGTTTTTCTTCGGGGTATCTTCGGGAACACCCCGATTTCAGGGTCATACTTCAATTGCATCATGTTCATGGTGGCGAGCAGCGTCGTTCTGACGGTGTTGGTGCTAAACTTTCATCACAGGTCACCGGACAGATACGTGATGCCACAATGGGTAAGTTGATTAAATAATCAAAATATCTTATTTACTGTTAGTAAGATGAATAATTATTAGGTCGAGTCATAAGTAACTTCCGTTTTTTTATCAGACATTTATTTCGTTCTCATTAAACAACAAAATTATATTATTTTATTATATATTCACCACTATTTTCTATAACCTTCTCCCATTTTCCTGGTAATTTATCAATTCCTTCCTTGTAAAATGTGGTTGGTTTGGACTGGAAGAAGCTTTCAACAGCCTGCCTGACTTGCTCTTCAGAATTGAAGGTTTTTCCATTTAAAAAGTTTTGTAAGGAACAGAAAAGGTGGTAGTCTGTCGGGGC